CATATTCATCAGGAGGCGAGCAGTAGCAGCTTGGTCGACTGTTGGAGATATCTTTTGATTCTAACTATCGATTTCTCAGCTGACTTATTTTGGATAGTCAGATACGTACTTTCAATTCTTTCCTCCTCATAGGGTGAAATGATGTGACAAGAGATGACATATTTTGCCTTCCTCAGACTCGTTGGTCTCAACATCTGACTTCTGGTCAAGCCGTTATAGTAGAAGTTTGTCTAAGATTGATATGCACCTCACATTTACTGTAACTTATGTGTCAATGGACCAATGTGCTGAAATATGAGATATGTACCTACCTAACCAGATATGAGCTGTTTAACTAGAGTCTGATGGTTTAAGAAAATGAATGATAAAAACTACCACGAGTGTACTTGTCAAATTTGCTAATTCCAGCCGAACCAACTGGCCCAAATTTACCCATTAGTTAGTACTTCACCATAGTTCATAACTTGGCAGAATACTGAAAGAGATCCAAGTGGATCAGGGAGCTAATTTCGGCAGCCAACTGTTCGGTGCATTGTGTAAAATGTTAGATGTGATGATCCTATGCACTTAACGTTATCTCATGGATTCTAAAGGTTTAGTAGAATGGGTAATACAAACTACTAAGTGCATGCTTGCCAGTTTTGTTAACTCTAACCGAACAGAGGTCTACGGGTTTTTGCTAAACATTTTGATGTTCATGAGGGAAAAGTTTCTCACGGGAGGATGTAATGTATCCCTTCTAGAATGGATGTCCCACAGTGTCCACAAGAATATATGGAGTAGTTAAGGTCTACATTAGTTAATGCACACAAGTTTGTATGTCAACAGCTACAAAAGGCTGCCCACACACCTGGCTTATATTTGATCAATTGGAATCCATTTAACCTTACATTTCTAATCTGTACTTTTGCTATTTAAGATCAACTTCTTGAACATTTGGGCCATTTTTTCCTTTAACTAGCTAGTAGATCTACAATCTAATTTGCCAGTCTCCTGTAACTATTTTTGGCTGCATAATGGATAATTCCAATGAGAAACAGTATGTTTGAGACTTATTTTACAGTGAAGGGTTGGATTACGTGGTTGATCCTTTTACTTTCGATGCTGGATTTTACGTTCACTATAGCAGAACCCATAGATGAAGGTATGTTGCTTGCCAATGTTTTGAACATGGTAAAGCTTACTACATCTGTTGACATGCTGGTACTGAGGTCTCTTGGAGCATACCAGCCCCATTGACCATATTAGGTCTCATAGAGTGCAGACCTCCACCAAACATACTGGTAATGGAGGGAGCTGAGTCTCCAGGCAGTCCAGCCACAAATGATACCACCATTGTTGATTTCCATTAAAATGAAGTCAGACTTACCATTGAAAAACACCATGATCTGCTCCTGAAGTGTTCCATTGGGGGATGTAATGTTATCAAGCACCTCTTGTGGGAACCTTGCATTCATAAACCAAAGAAAACTTTTCCTGGGCTTGGGTCCTCTTAAGAGTTGACAAGGCTCTATAAGGGGTGTAGTGGGAAATGTCCCTGTTTGATGTTTTCCACCTTTGAAATTCTGATTACCAAGCCCTATGTCGCTATTGCAACGACAACTACTGCAGCAATCCAGATAAGACAGCCAGCTCCTACTGAGTCATCAACATCATTACTGCGAACGAGTTCACCATCAATGAGTGGGCATTTATACTGATTCTACCTTGATCAATACACCAACAATGAAGTGGTCCTGAGAACACCTCCAGAGACTGCCAAGAGTTCAGCTCCCAACTAAGCCACCCAAAATGGCTTACGCTAGAGTGGAGCTTCGTGGTACTAACATGAGATAGCCACTGAATGAAGCGAGTCCTGGGTCTTCTTCAACTGGGAAGTGGATCAGCTGCAACAAAGAGCTACATTTCTGGTATTGCTTGAATAGGAGATATACTGTTTGCAAGCCAAGCTAGATGGATGACACTAAGAGGGCTCTAACCAAATTCTGATACACATTATGGATCACCACAGTGACCTACTGAAAGACCACTGCCACATTTGAAGAACTGCTGGAAGGGTTATGTTAAGAGGAGGAAAGATTCATGCCAGCGTTGGGTTAGTGAATGGAAATTTTATATTTCAATTTAAGTGTGCATTTTGAAATTTTATTGAGCATCTCTGCATTTCTTTTCGGGGGTGAGCGAGTGGTTGGTGTTTATTTACAAATGATTTATGTTGCATTGTCAATGTTATATAGTTTGATTTTCTATAATATGATATTCTGTTTCACACTTCATTATTATTGTGATCTTCTGTTAGTGGCTTCTTTCATTATTTTTCCGTGAGTACGATATTAAAATTATTGAAAATGGGCTATTATATTTTGCCGATTATTATTATTATTGCATTTCTAAAGTGTATTAAAGATTTTGTTATTTCGTGCTTCTTGAGAGTGCTTTTCATTCTGTTTTCTTTTAATGCCAAATGATGTATTTCATAAGTTTAATTTTGTACTGTAATCACGAATATCAGTGTTTAATGGTAATTTTTCATATGATTTATTAATGTTATAAACATACTTTTTAAGTATTTGATTTGGTAATTTGAATGTTGTGAAAGAACGTTTTGAGCTATATTTGGTAGTGCAATGTGTGTGTATGTGTTTTGCACTGTTTTGAATAACATTTTATTTATTATTGTTATCAAAGTTTTTTTGTATTGTAATTCACTTTATTATTAATAGGTTTTAGGTGCTGAGGTACTTCGTGATTTGAAAATAAATATACGTATTCAGTTAAAGTTTTTTCTTCCTTGTTTTATGTAGGTTTTTTTAGTTATGCTTTCGTTTTAGTTATAGTTATATTTATCGTTAAGGATTTGTACCTTTAGTTTTAGTTACTTATAGTTGTTAGTTTGATTTTAGTTATAGCATAGTTATTATTACAGCTAACTACATATAATTTTAGTTATTATAAGTTAACCGAGTGGTGACGAACTTGACATTTGTGTAGTTGAAATAACTCTGGGCTCTACATTAATTAATCTCTTTACGATGCTCTTTTAAGCTAGCCAGCCAAAATTGAACGATGAGAAGACTTCAGCAAACATACTTTCGGTTTAGCTACATGATTATTTCTGCAATTTTCCCACATACTATTGTTTCGACAGCGGAAGTCACGTGACGCTGGTAACTCGTGCGTGAAATTTCTCGAATGATCATGAATTATCGGGTAAGCCCGAGTTTGTTCGAGACGCCCTCTTTTTTAGTATATAAGCCTGGCAGTGAAAGCCTGCGAGATTTGAATGAAGAGAGTTCCGGGTAATTTATGATTCTGTTTCGAGCTAGTGTGTGTTATAAAAGTTGTTAAGTTTAAAGTGACGAGAAACGTATTGACTGTGGAATTACTGTGTACTAAATGTTTGTATCTAGGAAGAATAAACTGGTTGAATCAAGAAAGGACTTGTATCGCTGAAGTTTCTCGGAAAGAATTTCTACCGGACATTAACAAACAAGCAGATACCTAACACTATTCACATACATTTGGGTTTTAGTCAGACAGCTTGTCTCCTAATGCACATGGATATAGGTATGTTAGATAACTAGATAATTTTCGTTATTATTATGTTAATGTTTTACATGCATTTTAGTTATACTTTTTATTAGCTGTTATGATATACATTCGTTAACAGACATGTTCATTGTAGTTATTTGAAGAACACTGGTTTTATGTCTTTCCAATTGTTGACTTGAGTTTTTGTTGAAGAGCTACTTGTATGCACTTATCATTAATACTTTGTGAATTAGATTGCGTATCGTCTTCTTTTATATGTGTTAAAATAATTATTTTTGCCATTATCCTGTGTGAAAGGGCTTACTTTAGTATTTTTCACTCATCCTTTACTGTAATCTTTGTCAAAGAACTCAACTGTATTATTGAATTTAGTACGTGCTGTAATATGTCATTGTTCAAGGGTTTTCATATCGGATAGTATCTCTACTAAATGTTTTTATTTTCTCTGTTTCGTGTAATGGTTTACGTGAACTAGAGTAGGTTATATACTACTTTGTCAATGCGCGTTTGCAAATTCAATTTTGTTTAACAGTTAATATTAACATCGGCTTCAGAACAAGCCTGAAACCGTGAATTTACGTGAACCAAAGAACGGAATGTTGAGTTGTTTATTTCGGCGGCTGTGTCCAAACCGAACGGAAAGACAATACAAAATTTTTGAAAAATTAACATATTAAATTGGTGGGAGGGAGCTTATTCACAGTACATTCCTGAAACATAAGTGTTTTTATTTTCTTGTGAAAAATGTGTGTCAAGGCTGATTTATCTTAAACCGTACATACAATTCTGCCATTTTAACTGCGATTGTTTGTTTATTTTGAATTTCGCGCAAAGCTACATGAGGGCTATCTGTGCTAGCCATCCCTAATTTAGCAGTATAAGACTAGAGGGAAGGCAACTAGTCATCACCACCCACCGCCAACTCTTGGGCTACTCTTTTACCAATGAATAGTGGGATTGACCGTCACTTTATAACACCCCCATGGATGAAAGGGCGAGCATGTTTGATGTGACGGGGATTCGAACCCGCGACCATCAGATTGCGAATCGAGCGCTCTAACCACATGGCCATGCTGGGCCAAATTTTATTTGTGAATAGCATACATTTAGTACCTGAGGGAAAACGAAAAGATGAAACATTGTGCAATCAACAAATGTATATAGTCGTATATTTGGAAATGAAGTATTGCAATTACTAAGAATATTTTACTTTTATTTTTGGAACAATTGAAATTCTGTTTATATGTTCTAGGCTTTCAAGAAAGTATGTTGTCGTTATGTGTTATTACCTCTTCATATTATGCAATGTTATAAATATTTTGCTGTTGTGATGTGTGCGACCTCTAGCGACTGTGAAGTGAAACTGAAGTGCGATAACGTTATGTTTGGTAAGTTGATGGAATGTTTAGTTTAAAGATAGTTGTTAATAGGTGAAGGTGTGTGTGGAGTGTATATAGCCCAGAACTGTTGATTTTATGGTGATGTAGCACGTTAATCGGATATATACAAATAAAAAATAATTCTTTATCTTTATTATGGCAAACTTGGAAATAAGTGGTCTTGGTAATATTCCGGTGTACGAGAAGGCCGCCTCGGAACCTTCTACACCGACCGAAGTCGCCAAAGTTGTTCACGGATGTAGGTTGAAACGTACGAAACCTGGCAAAGAACAACGAGTGAGTTTTCCATCTGATGATATGATAGTCACAAGCTATTTTGATGCGCCAGTTCCTTGGGACTGTCGTAAGTATCAAGGTAGTATTTCACTCTTAAGTTAAGAGCAATAAAACTTCGTAAAAAGTTGTGTAAGTCACATTAAAGTTTAAACTATTTTATAGAGGATTATACCTTTAAAGTTTAAATATAGGCCCATAACTTTTGATTAAAAAATAATCGAATTTAACACTGAATCATGGATGATTAATTTGAGGCTAACATTAGAGCTTACATTAACTGATTAAATTACAAGTAAAACAACTTACAAAACCTTGGTTGCTATGATTTTATATCTGAATTAAATTATAACCTTAGTTCTGTTGTGTAATAAACCAAATTTTCGTATATACATAGTGAAAAAAGTAAATACATCTGTGATATAAGGTAGAAAATGAAATTTAAAATCTAACTTTTCATCATCATATTATATTTGCAGTTTAAACTTTCTAGTAATTGGGGTAATTTTATTATTTATTCTGTTTGTGTTGTCAAACTTATATTATTATGTGGTAATTGTTATTAATTTATGAGGTATAATTAAACGTTACCAAGTAAGAACTAAAGTAACTGCCCTAAATCCAGCTTTGTGTATTATTTATTGTGTGTCGGAAATCTTCAGTGTACTTCTAGTTCTATATTGAATGCAAAAAAGAATGTAATGAAAATTCCTCAAGAAAATTTCATTGTAAATGTAGTTTAGCAATGTCAGTATATGTATAAATATATTAGGATATTTGTATGAGGTTCCTAATATATTTTAACATTAGTAGAAAACAACAACAACATATTAATGTACTTTTGTTCTGCCAGAGGGATATGAAGGTACGTGTAGAAAGTCTTGTCCTTTTTTATTATCCAGTCTTTCTGCACCACATAAGAATTTTCTTGACTGTTGAGGATCAGCCTTGATGGCCAGTTTAAAACAAGGTTAGAGGTTACAAGTACATGTATAATGCACAGATATGATCAGCCTAAGCTCATATCTAATGTGTAAAAATAAACATGAAACAGCTGAATTGGCATTCGGATTCATTATGTGTTTTCAAGAAGTAAGATTTTCAACATCTTATGTTTCTTGACTTTTAAGTGGCACATCCCCCCCCCCTTCCCCTCAATAAAAACAAAAACAAACTTGTACATGTTGATTAGTATAGTAAAATAATCTATTCGCATGGACAGAATATTAAAGATTAATTTCAAAATATAGCTTAGTATATATATTCTATGTACAGGAGAAAAATAAAAGTCAACCTTTATTTTTCCTGGTAATTAATGGTTAGTGAATTTTGTATAAATAAAAATTTACATATGTGGTGATGGGTCTGACTTGGTTATGTTTTATTTAATGTAAAAGTTTGTAGTGGCTGTGTGAAAGGACTTGATCTCCTAATGGATACTGGACTCAAATCTTTTCAAGTCCAACTTCTAATTAACTAATTATCAGGTAGTAAATTACATATCCTCAACTTTATAATGCACACTTTCATAAACTTTGGATCACCAGCTGTTGAGATGGGACTGTCTTTGCTATTGTTGCTGAATTTTAAGTAGTATGAAATATCAGTATGCTTTTTTTTCTCTGTGAAATCTAAGATGTATAAAGACATTTTTATGTTATTCCCTTAATTTAGGTTAATCATAAGAATAACTATGATATTTAATAGTAGTATGTTAGCATACATTGTGCTTGCATTATGAAATTCAAAAATTGAACATTATTTAGAGTTAAATAAGATGTTGCATAAGATTTTTTTACAGCATTTTGTAAATTGCTTCCTAATTTATAGCAAGTTTACTGTCTAGTAATGTACACTATAAAGCCTCATACTACTGTACAATTTTCTAATAATATTGAGAATATACCTTAGACCCCAATCCAGATGACTATAAGATAGGTCTTTATTCATTTTTCTATTAGTTTACATGTTTATTTTAAAGTATAAAGTACTGTATATTTAAAAAATGTTCATGTTTAGTTAGCTGTTAAATGTTTAGCTATATTATTTTTCTTTATGATATTGTGTAAAAATAACAATTTAGAGCTTTTAAACATGATGTTTACTACATTAAGGAAATTAACTTTATAGAAGATGCACATGTCATGCAGAATTTTATATGTAGGCTTTCTTACTAGTCTGTTACTAAATGATGTTTCGTTTAGTACAGTTGGAAGTAAACCATGTCCAAAATGTAGCTTCTTTTTAGGCACTTATAGTGAATATGGGCAAATTATCATTAATAAGTTAATGTTGAATAACTGTATTAAATTATATGTATGTGAAGTGGAGATAGGCAGTTAGTAGAAATTACTAATGAATTAATGATTGGGTTCATTTATTGATTACATTCAACTAATTGATTATTCTCACATGAGATGGCAAAAAAACTTATACAAATCAGGTTGCAATATCTGTGGTGGGCAGTGCAGAGATAGCCCATTGTTAGCATTGTGCTTAATAACAAACAGACACACTGTAATTTTGATTAATTAATTATTTTACATGATAGTAATTGATGCAACTAGTGCTCATAAGTAATTGATTATATTAAATAATTGAGTTAATTGCCCAGCTATAATCAATGTGTTGCTTGCTGCAAGTTTACTATTTCAGTTATGAAAAGTGAATTTTAATTATTCACTTTGTGTGCTCCAGTGGATGATACATAAATGTAACAGTAAATCTCAGTAGAGAAGTAACTGTTCTAATCAGAAATAATGAACGATATGTGACATATATTTCACTAGTTCTGATTAGAAAAATTACTTCTGTATTGAGATTTACTGTTACACTCATACTTCACACATCTTTCACTAGTTCTGATTATATGTTACTTCTTTATTGAGATTTACTGTTACACTCATACTTCATACATCTTTCATTAGTTCTGATTACAATTTACTTCTTTATTGAGATTTACTGTTACACTCCTACTTCACATATATTTCACTAGTTCTGATTAGAAAAATTAATTCTCTACTGTGATTTACTGTTACACTCTTACTTCACATATCTTTCATTATTTCTGATTAGAACAGTTACTTCTCTACTGAGATTTACTGTTACACTCTTACTTCACATATCGTTCATTATTTCTGATTAGAACAGTTACTTCTCTACTGAGATTTACTGTTACACTCTTACTTCACATATCTTTCATTATTTCTGATTAGAACAGTTACTTCTCTACTGACATTTACTGTTACACTCTTACTTCACATATCGTTCATTATTTCTGATTAGAACAGTTACTTCTCTACTGAGATTTACTGTTACACTCTTACTTAAAGTAGGAGTGTAACAGTAAATCTCAATAAAGAAGTAAATTGTAATCAGAACTAGTGAAAGATGTATGAAGTATGAGTGTAACAGTAAATCTCAATAAAGAAATAACTTGTAATCAGAACTAGTGAAAGATATGTGAAGTAGGAGTGTAACAGTAAATTACAGTAGAGAATTGTCCTAATCAGAACTAGTAAATGGTTAACTGTCTGTATTTATTAGTAGAAAATTAGCATAAATGGCTTTTTAGTTGGATGAGATCTGGTATGTTTTGTACTATATTTTAGAGCCTATGTGTTAATTAATTTTATCATCAGGGTTAGAGTAGTATTGCATTAAATTAAAAATTCTGATAATTGCTTAATTACTGAGAATATGGAAAATGCATGTTTAGACATATATGTATTGAAACTAAGAATGAAGAGGTTGTTATACAATATTTTTTTATACCTTATTTAAGAGTACTGTGGATAGGTTTTGTAACTGCAGTTACGGACTTTCTGTAAAGGATTGAAGAAAAGGCTGTGAGAATGATTCATGATTGATGATGGAACATACAACTGTCCAGTGTTATTTGAGTGTTTTTTGGAATATCTCATTCATTTTAGGAAGTTATCTCCAAAAATATGGGTAATCTGAAAGAAAAAGGACAACTTTTTCGGTGCTACTATAGCATGTGGTCTACACAGATACTACTATCATCACCATTTTAATGATTCACTAAAACATAATTTCTTGCTAAATAATTTATATCTATCCACGTTTTTGTTCAGCAAATAATAATAATAATTTAATAAGTTCTGTGATACAAAAGAGTACCTTAAATTTAGGTTATAATTGTGCTAGTTTTGATTGTTGGAATTTATTTCATTCCGATTATAGTTGCCTCCAAAATGTTATGTAATGGTATTTAGTACTTTTAGTTTAAAAAGTATTACTTATTATAATTGGTGC